ATAGACTAGACTATAGACTAGAACTATAGACTAGACTATAGACTAGACTATAGACTAGACTATAGACTAGACTATAGACTAGACTATAGACTAGACTATAGACTAGACTATAGACTAGACATATGACTAGATCTAGACTAGACTATAGACTAGACTATAGACTAGACTATAGCCTTTTAGGGGCGAACTATAGGACTAGACTATAGCACTAGACTATAGATAGACTAGACTATAGACTAGACTATAGACTAGATTATAGACTAGACTAGATTATAGACTAGACTAGACTATAGACTAGACTATAGACTAGACTATAGACTAGACTATAGACTAGACTATAGACTAGACTATAGACTAGACTATAGACTAGACTATAGACTAGACTATAGACTAGACTATAGACTAGACTATAGACTAGACTATAGACTAGACTATAGACTAGACTATAGACTAGACTATAGACTAGACTATAGACTAGACTATAGACTAGACTATAGACTAGACTATAGACTAGACTATAGACTAGACTATAGACTAGACTATAGACTAGACTATAGACTAGACTATAGACTAGACTATAGACTAGACTATAGACTAGACTATAGACTAGACTATAGACTAGACTATAGACTAGACTATAGACTAGACTATAGACTAGACTATAGACTAGACTATAGACTAGACTATAGACTAGACTATAGACTAGACTATAGACTAGACTATAGACTAGAACTATAGACTAGACTATAGACTAGACTATAGACTAGACTATAGACTAGACTATAGACTAGACTATAGACTAGACTATAGACTAGACTACTATAGACTAGACTATAGACTAGACTATAGACTAGACTATAGACTAGACTATCGACTAGACTATAGACTAGACTATAGACTAGACTAATAGACATACTAGACTATAGACTAGACTATAGACTAGACTATAGACTAGACTATAGACTAGACTATAGACTAGACTATAGACTAGACTAATAGACTAAGAACTAGACTATAGACTAGACTATAGACTAGACTATAGACTAGACTATAGACTAGACTATAGACTAGACTATAGACTAGACTATAGACTCAGACTATAGACTAGACTATAGACTAGACTATAGACTAGACTATAGACTAGACTATAGACTAGACTATAGACTAGACTATAGACTAGACTATAGACTAGACTAGACTAGCTATAGACTAGACTATAGACTAGACGATAGACTAGACTATAGACTAGACTATAGACTAGACTAGCTAGACTATAGACTAGACTATAGACTAGACTATAGACTAGACTATAGACTAGACTAGACTATAGACTAGACTATAGACTAGACTATAGACTAGACTATAGACTAGACTATAGACTAGACTATAGACTAGACTATAGACTAGACTATAGACTAGACTATAGACTAGACTATAGACTAGACTATAGACTAGACTATAGACTAGACTATAGACTAGACTATAGACTAGACTATAGACTAGACTATAGACTAGACTATAGACTAGACTATAGACTAGACTATAGACTAGACTATAGACTAGACTATAGACTAGACTATAGACTAGACTATAGACTAGACTATAGACTAGACTATAGACTAGACTATAGACTAGACTATAGACTAGACTATAGACTAGACTATAGACTAGACTATAGACTAGACTATAGACTAGACTATAGACTAGACTATAGACTAGACTATAGACTAGACTATAGACTAGACTATAGACTAGACTATAGACTAGACTATAGACTAGACTATAGACTAGACTATAGACTAGACTATAGACTAGACTATAGACTAGACTATAGACTAGACTATAGACTAGACTATAGACTAGACTATAGACTAGACTATAGACTAGACTATAGACTAGACTATAGACTAGACTATAGACTAGACTATAGACTAGACTATAGACTAGACTATAGACTAGACTATAGACTAGACTATAGACTAGACTATAGACTAGACTATAGACTAGACTATAGACTAGACTATAGACTAGACTATAGACTAGACTGTAGACTAGACTATAGACTAGACTATAGACTAGACTATAGACTAGACTATAGACTAGACTATAGACTAGACTATCGACTAGACTATAGACTAGACTATAGACTAGACTATAGACTAGACTATAGACTAGACTAGACTATAGACTATAGACTAGACTATAGACTAGACTAGACTATAGACTAGACTATAGACTAGACTATAGACTAGACTATAGACTAGACTATAGACTAGACTATAGACTAGACTATAGACTAGACTATAGACTAGACTATAGACTAGACTATAGACTAGACTATAGACTAGACTATAGACTAGACTGGACTATAGACTAGACTATAGACTAGACTATAGACTAGACTATAGACTAACTAGACTATAGACTAACTAGACTATAGACTAACTAGACTATAGACTAGACTATAGACTAGACTATAGACTAGACTATAGACTAGACTATAGACTAGACTATAGACTAGACTATAGACTAGACTATAGACTAGACTATAGACTAGACTAGACTATAGACTAGACTATAGACTAGACTATAGACTAGACTATAGACTAGACTATAGACTAGACTATAGACTAGACTATAGACTAGACTATAGACTAGACTATAGACTAGACTATAGACTAGACTATAGACTAGACTATAGACTAGACTATAGACTAGACTATAGACTAGACTATAGACTAGACTATAGACTAGACTATAGACTAGACTATAGACTAGACTATAGACTAGACTATAGACTAGACTATAGACTAGACTAGACTATAGACTAGACTATAGACTAGACTATAGACTAGACTAGACTAACTAGACTATAGACTAACTAGACTATAGACTAACTAGACTATAGACTAGACTATAGACTAGACTATAGACTAGACTATAGACTAGACTATAGACTAGACTATAGACTAGACTATAGACTAGACTATAGACTAGACTATAGACTAGACTATAGACTAGACTATAGACTAGACTAGACTATAGACTAGACTATAGACTAGACTATAGACTAGACTATAGACTAGACTATAGACTAGACTATAGACTAGACTATAGACTATAGACTAGACTATAGACTAGACTATAGACTAGACTATAGACTAGACTATAGACTAGACTATAGACTAGACTATAGACTAGACTATAGACTAGACTATAGACTAGACTATAGACTAGACTATAGACTAGACTATAGACTAGACTATAGACTAGACTATAGACTAGACTATAGACTAGACTATAGACTAGACTATAGACTAGACTATAGACTAGACTATAGACTAGACTATAGACTAGACTATAGACTAGACTATAGACTAGACTATAGACTAGACTATAGACTAGACTATAGACTAGACTATAGACTAGACTATAGACTAGACTATAGACTAGACTATAGACTAGACTATAGACTAGACTATAGACTAGACTATAGACTAGACTATAGACTAGACTATAGACTAGACTATAGACTAGACTATAGACTAGACTATAGACTAGACTATAGACTAGACTATAGACTAGACTATAGACTAGACTATAGACTAGACTATAGACTAGACTATAGACTAGACTATAGACTAGACTATAGACTAGACTATAGACTAGACTATAGACTAGACTATAGACTAGACTATAGACTAGACTATAGACTAGACTATAGACTAGACTATAGACTAGACTATAGACTAACTATAGACTAGACTATAGACTAGACTATAGACTAGACTATAGACTAGACTAGAATTTAAACGAAAACTGCACTTAATTGTAAACTGTCGAAATCGAAATCGATTTTCACCAATCAGTAAACTTTTCGTAATTTTAAATTGTGAACAGTTGAACAAAATTTTATTTTTCGTTAAAATTTCGATAGTAATTTAGTTTGTGCTTGAGAGCAAATACCTTTCTGTTGATATATGTAATATCGAAATTTAAATCTGTCGTTCTGAGTTTATTTTTCGTTCTCATTGATTAAAGTTATTTGTTTAAAACTTAAATTGAAAATTCAAATACCTTAAATCACAATCAGTTACATAAATACCTACACATGTACATACATATGCATATGTATACGGTCTCTTTTATACGCTTTCATTTTATGTTTGTATTTAGTTGTTGTACATTTAACTGTGATTGTTTTGAATTTTTCTCTCTGTTTTTATTTTTATTTTTTTGGTTTTGTTTTATTTGTTGCTGTTATTCTCGTGGTAGAGTGATTTTTTTGTTTTGTTTTGTTGTCAAAGTTATTGTTGTTGTTGCTGTTGTATTGTATTGTCTGTTATGAGGGCTCCCCAATGATTCAACAGTGGTTGCAATCGTCAACAACAATAATAATAACAGCAGCAGTGAAAAAAGCAGCAGCAGTGTGAGTAACAAACAAACAAAATAAAATTGTTGAATGTTTTGTATATTCCAAACGGTGTTAGACCCTGCAGATGGGGGTAACTATCCCGAAATAATGTAGTAGATGAAAGCTTTACTTCGATTAATAATGGAGAGTTGATTGGACAATAGTTTACTTCTAGTGGGTTAACAGGAAGTTTATAACTTACTGCTAGATTAATTGCTCTTGACATAAAACAAATATTTCAACAAACTGTAAAGTGATTACTCCTGGACTCCTTGAGAAACTACTGGCAAGTTGAGAACTCCTTTACATTCGTATGTACTAGAATACACATGAATTTATATTTGTTGAAGGGATATTTTGTGTTGCTTAAAAAGTCATATACATTTACATTTTAATTTATCAAAATATTTAATACATAAGAAACTGACTGCTTTCCTGTTACAGTCTTGCTTTTTAAAAAACAATCATAAATTTTAAAAAATATATTTATTAATATATTAAAAAGAATGCAAATACATTTAAATATAAATTTAATGAGTGAGTTTATTAATTGTTTAATTTTTCTTTTCCTTTGTTTCATTTGCAGGTGGTTTAACTGATGGTGGCCGTATTGGTTTTGGTGATAGTAGCGGTGTTGTACATGGCGGTATTATAAGTTCCATAGCCACACCAAATGTGCCATGTTCTCCGGGACAATTTCGTTGCAATGATGGTAAATGCATTACCTCATTATGGGTGTGTAATTATCAAAAAGATTGCGAGGGTGGTGAAGATGAACAGCAATCGTGTCGTAAGTTTCAAACATAAATATTTGATTAATGTCTGTAATTTTTTTATGTTGTATATTTTTTTTGTTTTGCAGCACCCCCTGAATGTGAGCCGGGTCAAATAAATTGCGGCCAATATGTATTTAATAAAACTTATTGTATACCACCGCATTTTCGTTGTGATATGACAGAAGATTGTGAAGACAAATCGGATGAGGCACAGTGCAGTAAGTGTGACTCTTTGTTTTTTGTTTGATACATAAATCATATTTATTTTTATTGAAAAAGTTGAACAAAAAAAGAATCTTGAACTTAAGTAATAAATTTGAAATGTGTAAAAAAAGTGTGGCCAAAAAATGAAATATTTTGCAAATTTTTTTATAGTTATACCCTACACCACTTTAGTGGGTATTCGATTAAGCCATGTTCTTCAGCCTGTCCGTCCGTATGTCCGTCTGTCCGTCTGTCTGTCTGTCTGTCTGTCTGTCTTTCTGTATGTCTATCTGTCCGTCTGCTTGTTTGTCCATGTAAACCATGTAATCAAACTACTTGTTACTACTTGTTACACATATTACTTTTGTAGTTGTAACTAACTCGCGAGAATATAATATTGGAATATGTTGATGGAATACACGGGTTGTGGAGTTATTGCAGAGTACATACCAGCGATATGAAGGAATAAATGTGTCGGATGTTCATCTCTTATGTGTCGTATTAAAGAGTTATATGATGATTTGGATGGTAGTATCCTACTTGAGGATTATCGATCATATTCCCCTCATTGTCCTGGTATAAATATTCCATATGATGAGAAAGAACTTGTCTTTGGATTTAAGCAGAACATAAAGAAATTTTAACGTTTTTCACAATCAATAATTTGGAATAATTCAACAAATAAAAGCCTAAAAGTATGCTATGTGCAAGTACATCATGCAGTACATCGTGCTAAGGGGCGTATAATTAATAATTATTAAAACAAAATAAACAATACGTATAGAGGGCCTGCAATAAATTTGTATAATGATTTGGATGGTATAGTATCCTACACGAGGATTATCGATCATACTCTTTTCTTTGTCCTGGTATAAATATTCCAAACTTACCAGAGTGTCTATGAGAAAAAACTTGTCTTTGTCAATGATCACAAAAATGCGGATGTGGATCATCTCTAACTGACCCTGTTGTTGAAAAAGATTTCTGACAAGGCAGGTGTTCACGTAAAGTACTCCACTTTCACTCACGACTAAAATCAAATCGCTGTCATTTACTCTTTTACATTCAGAACATAAACAAAGTTGCTAGAAAATGTGTCTCTTTCACTCTTCCTACTATATGTCTTTCAACTCTCTCTTATATTTGTTATCTAATAAATTTACAAATACTTAATAAAAAATTAATTAAATAAAAAGTTATGCTCAATTTCAATTACATTCAACTTAATAGCATTTCCTTTAAAGTTGCCTTTATTGATTGTACTTATGGGAAACTTTTTTTAAAAAAAGGGGTTAATTTCTTTTGAAAATTTATTATTGTTTAATGACTGCAAAAATGTTTTCTTCTTACGTGCTGCTCTCAACAAAATATAATAAAGTTTTATAAAGGTTGTTGTTGTTTGTTTGCTATAAACTTTATTACTTTCAATTTTCTTAAAACCTTTAAAGGTGGCAATACTCTTTTTAGTTCATGTGGCTGTCATTTCAAGTGAATTTTTATTTTAGAAATATTTCTTGGTATTAAGAACCCTTAATGCAGTACATTTTGTATGGGGAACTAAATAAATTTCTTGTTTTATTATTATTTAAAATTGTATAAATCGTGTTTTATTTTTAATTGTTTTTTTCTTTCAAACATTTAACACGTAAATTTAGATAAATTTATTAAAATATATTTACAATTAGGGCTGTTTCTCAAGGTTTTAATGTAAAATCTTAATGACTTTCTCAATTCTCTTCCCTTCGGCCCAGCTAAGAGCCAGAAAAGTATACTTTGCTAGCTCTAGAACTGTAATTTATTAGTTTATTAACAGTTTTCTTAAATTTTTGTAGTCAATAATTAAAAGGAAATTTCATTAGTTACACATTTGTTTACCAGGAAACAGTTAAGTATCAAGTTAAAGTTTTGAATATATTTTGGAAAATCATTACAGTGTTTCTAAGGTCCTTCATTCTTAATAATGTTAAGACTCTAACGACTAAAGCTAAAATAAATCTATATAAAAAAATTTCTTTCTTTTCTTTCATTACAAATGCAACTCCCTCTAATATGTCTTAAAAATAAGCAGAATTATGTAAATAATGGTATTATATTTAAATAACAACACGTAAAATAAAGTATAAAATTGAAAAATCTTTATCCACAATTTTTTCAACAGATCTTAACTCCACACTTTACAACATTTTATTATAAAATATTTTTTTATTTTTCATTATTTATACTAAAAATCTTTATGCAGAACATAAAGAAATCTTTACGTTTTTCACAATAAAGAATTTAAAAGTGGAAAATTTTCTTATTCCTGCAAACAGCTTGAAATAATTCATTGACTAAAAGCCTAAAAGTATGCTATATAAAAAATTCTACAAATAATGCAGTACATCGTGCTAAGGGGCGTATAATTAACAATTAAAACAAAATAAACAATACGTATAGAGGGTCTTCAATAAATTTTGAATAATTTATTCCAACACACAAACTCTATTTAATAATTTAATGTTTCCATCGACCCTTTCGGTTTGTAATTTATTTCTAATGTTACAAATTATTCAAATAAAAATGATTATTCTTGAGTAAAGTATTTATAGAAACATTAAATATTTCACTTTAGCAAATATTCCAGTATTTTGTTTATTTATTTACTCATGTAATTTACTCGAATAAAATCTTATTATTGTTACAAATTGTTTAAGCAAATAAACAGTTATTAAAACTTATACATAAATTTACAAAATACAAATATCCTTATTTATTTTGTTATTTACAAAAATAAAATAAAAGAAAATATTATTTGACAAAACTTTATTTATTTACTTAAAGACAGTACTCTATTTGCTGCAGAGACAACTTTTTTTTAGAAAAAGACAATATTTCCCCATTTAAGAAAAAAATATCCTTTATATTGTACTTTGATAGTTTTATCTCAAAAATTTGTTTATGTCTTCTTAAAGACAAAAACAAACAGAACTATTATAGTTTTACGTTATTCAACCAGAATAAGAAGATGAGACAAAAATAACAACAATATGTATGTATAAAAAAAATAATAGCTCACATTAAATTGCTACAATATTGCATGACAATTGTTTTGTTGTTGCTGCTGCTGCTGTTCCTATAAATTTCATTGTTGACAATATGTATATGTATGCCTGCCTCACATGAGTTCTATATACTATCATAAAACATTAAAGTCTGCAACAAAGATAAACTTTCAAGGAATATTTTTACAAATACATAATATTGTAGATATTCCTGCAACTATGTAAACAGTAGAAGATAAATACAAGACAAACAATAACAACAACAACAGCAGCAAGATATTGTATGCAATCAATCGTTTAAGTTTGTAAATGTAGACTGCACTGATACATCGAAATGGATGTAAACTATAAACATTGTTATCCATATGTACATGTATGTATGTATATGTAGCTAAAGTATTAACTGCATGGAATTTAGTAACAAAGACTTAGCTTCACCTGTATATTGCTTTGAATTTCATCAAATCAAATCTGTTACTTTTTAGTATTTGCTAAAGAACTACCTATAAGTAAACGTTTCCTTTCACAAGCATAAATGTGTCGGTGTGTATTGCCCATCACTGCAAATAGTTGTTTATACCCAATAAACATCGATTCAAACCTGAGAATATTTTTGAAAATTTTCTTAACTAAATAATGTATTTTCCAAATTGTTTTCAAATTTTAAAGTTTAGCCTTTGAAATAAACATGATAATTTCAAAAAACGCTTAAAAAATATAATGTGTGATATTTATAAAATTTTCAAAGTTTTGTTTTAATTGAACTTAGAAAAGTTTCTTTCAAAAAATAAATTATTTTAGAAAAATAAAACAGAACATTTTTTCTACAGCAAGGGAGCGAAAAAACGTTAAATATAGGAGAAATAATCGGAGATATAAAAGAAAAATATGCTAAAATAAATGTATGAATGTTTTATTTTCAGGTGATGTAAAAAAATATATGAATTTTGCAATAGTTGGCATTATAATTAGGGTTTGAAATATGTATGAAAATAATAATAAAGAATACTTGAAATACGTTCGAAAATTTTTTTAGTTTCAAGCTTACCTCTAGCCTTTTTTTAAATTTGAAATACATTTGAAAAATACGTTTGATTTCTAACTGCCTTTTTGTTTGAGAAGGCCATAATTCTCCATTTGAAAACAAAAATTTTCAAATTTGTTCTCAAAGGCTATGTATGAAATTTGAATAGGTTTTCAAATACATATTTACATCATTTCAAAGGTTTTTGCTTATTGGGTAAATATATCATTATTTATGTATAATGTTTGTGTGTAAACATTTGTCTTAGTAATAGATGAGTGAACTTATTCTACGGCATGTTGAAATATTAAATTTGTTAAAGCTTTTAGGTAGGAATAGAATCTCTTCAGAGTTAAAGCATTCATATAACAAAATACATCCGCCTTCTTTGTGTCTATAGTCTAGTCTATAGTGTAGTCTATGGTCTGGTCTATAGTGTAGTCTATGGTCTGGTCTATAGTCTAGTCTATAGTCTAGTCTATAGTCTAGTCTATAGTCTAGTCTATAGTCTAGTCTATAGTCTAGTCTATAGTCTAGTCTATAGTCTAGTCTATAGTCTAGTCTATAGTCTAGTCTATAGTCTAGTCTATAGTCTAGTCTATAGTCTAGTCTATAGTCTAGTCTATAGTCTAGTCTATAGTCTAGTCTATCTATAGTCTAGTCTATAGTCTAGTCTATAGTCTAGTCTATCTATAGTCTAGTCTATAGTCTAGTCTATAGTCTAGTCTATAGTCTAGTCTATAGTCTAGTCTATAGTCTAGTCTATAGTCTAGTCTATAGTCTAGTCTATAGTCTAGTCTATAGTCTAGTCTATAGTCTATGTAGTAGACCGAAAATAACTACATACAATGTTACATAAATATTTTTGTATAAAAATATAATTTCTGAAATACAATTGGAATTTTTTTAAATACAATTTGAAAATTCTGAAATACAACTGGAAACTTCT